TTTTTTTTTTTTTTTTTTTTTTTTTTTTTTGTGGAAATAGGGGTATCCCACCATTTTTTAGTATAGGTAGTCTTTGCTTGATGACCACAATTGGGACTAGCAATTCCATTGTTAAGCAATGAGGTTGTTAAACAAGACAACATGTGACCACGATAGGCTTATGACCTCACTTCTGCCATGGTTGTTCAGTGAATCACCCACAGTCATTAAGCAAAACATCACGTGACCGCTACTTGCGACTTCCTGTTGGCTTCCCCATTGACTTTGCTTGTCGGAAGCCGTCTGTGAAGGTCACAAATGGCAATCCCGTGACCACGGGGATGCTGCAAAGGTTGTAAATGCAAGGACCGGTCATACAGTTACTTTTTCAGCGCCATCATAACTTTGAACGGTCGCTAAGCAGGGCTGTTGTTAAGAGTATATCACACCATTGCTCAAAAACAATGTGTGCAAGATTCTGTTTTAATGATCTTTAGCCAAAAGCAACTGAACATCCTTGCAAACAAAAAAACAATCACACTCCAATGAAAAAATAACACCCTGGAAAATCAGGTTCTGGACGATGGAAAGAGTTGAGAAATTTTGTCTGGGAAGTTGTAGGGATGCTGTGGGTCTTACAAGGCAAACCTGAAGGATCTGGGCCTTGCATCAGATGCCTCTCATTGTCTTTCTCTCTTTCAGGCCTAAACAGTTCGCAGGCACAGAGCGTCCCCGTTATCAACAGTGTGGCCCTCCAGCCAGTCCAGTTCTCCCAACAGCTGCACAGCCCACACCAGCAGTCAATCATGCAGCAGTCAACCAATCCAATGGCTCAACAGCCGTTCATGGCTGCCGTGACACAGCTGCAGAATTCACACAGTAAGGATCTTGTGTTGGCTGAGATAGAAAGATGGCGGCTGGGGGAAGTGAGATGCGCGGCTAATAAATTGAGTAAATAAATAAAATAAATAATCAGGCGTGGGAAAAAGGGCTCCAATTGCGCGGTTGCACCTGCCATCTTCACTTTTATGAAACGACCCTCCCGCTACACAGACACACAGACACACACACAGACACATACACACAGATGCCTCTGCTGGTTAAAAACCCAAGGGTGGACCCATTGACAGCATCCTCCGTTCCAAGGAAACAAACCTGCGGAATCTGATCCCTGATTTCAAACCCAACAGAGCAGATAGATAGATAGGTACAGTTTATTACAATCTTAGACCAGTACTAGAAGTTTGTTCATGAGTGACCTATGCTCACTTATGAAACTATGAAATATTTAGATAACATTTAATACATATTTAGGATACATATATAAAACAACCTGGCACAAAACCATAGGTAGAATTCAGACGAAGCAGTCTGCGTCTAAGATATAAGTAAGGTAGTATCTGAAATTTACCTAAAATTTAATAACATCTAAAATTACAAAAATTTGATGACATCTAAAATGTAATCATGATATCTAAAATTATATGGAATTTAATAAGGTCTAGACTTATATAAAATACAACTATATAGCAGGACTAGCAGATCTAATAGTAGAATTTAATACGGTCTTTGACCAACACAAGCAAAAACCCAACAGAGCAATCAAATCTGCTCCTCATAGCCACATTCAGGGCTATATGTTTTTTAAGTAGGGGAGAATTAAAAAATTAAAATATGTCAGTTATGTTAAATGTGCCTTATCTATTTCATCATCATCATCATCATCATCATCATCATCATCATCATTTATTAAATGCATATGCCACCCAACTCCCAGCAACTCTGGATGGTTTATTTACTTCTCCTACTTATATACATCCAGCATCCATAGATTCCTGGCTGTTTACAGCAGCAAAAACACAAAACAGGACAGATGAAAGCAAATAAAAACACTACAGTATTAAAACTCAAATCCATTATAACACAGTTCACAATCATCCAAGGGCTCCGATCAGCATCTGGCAACCTCAGCTTGCAATGCCCTGTCAGAATAGTATGGTCTTAACCACTTTTCCAAACAGATCTACTCGCCAGAAAAAGGCTATTTGTAAGGTAAGAGCATCATACCATTTTTGGAGCCAGCATTCTGCAATGTTTAGTTCTGCAGAACTTCTGCTTTATAAGGAGAAGCAAAGAGCGTTGCAGGTAGCAAAGTATTATTGAACACCTTACTTATACATGATGTCTTAGGGCAGTCTTTCTCAACCTTGGCAACTTTAAGAGGTGTGGACTTCAACTGGCTGGGGAATTCTGGGAGTTGAAGTCCACACTTCTTAAAGTTGCCAAGGTTGAGAAACACTGGCATAAAGGCTTCTGAGGATGGACTTAGAATCACAGAATTATAGAGTCAGAAGAGACCGTGAAGGCCTCCTAGTCTAACCCCCTGCCCAGGGCAGAAATCCCTAGGTGGAAAAGAAGGAAAAATTCATTTTGCAGGACATCTAGCATTTAATGATCAGGAAATCAATGTTCATGGTCCCATTTGTGTTTTATTCTTTTTTTATATAATAACTTCATTAAATTTTTAAACAAGAAAGATAAATACTAACAGAAACTAATATTTGAGATGAGGGAAAGAGAAAAAGGAAGGAAGGAAGGAAGGAAGGAAGGAAGGAAGGAAGGAAGGAAGGAAGGAAGGAGCCAAAAGTGCAGAAAAAGAAAGAAAGAAAAAAGAAATATAAAGAAATGATTTTCAATTTTCTTTTACAACAGTTATAGATATAAATTTAAATTACTCCATGGTTACAACACAACTTTCATTTTTTTTCTATCATCTATTTTTTCTAATCATCAAACCCGTATATCATCCTTTCATTTTTTTCTATTTCACACAAAAAGTCCAAAAGGGGCCATTTGTGTTTTATTCCAATTACGTACAATGAAGCTTTTAAAAGTTGCTGATTTATCCCTTGAAGGTTCTGCCAATTTGGTTCTGTAATGAGAAGTTCTGTGGGAGAGCAGATTATGGTTGTACTCTAAAATGGTTGTCATTCTCTCTATCCATCCGATCTCGATCTCTCTCTCTTTCACACACACACACACATACACACACACTACAGAATGACTGTTGACCTTTCTCCACAGTGTACGCACACAAGCAAGAATCTCCTCAGTATTCCCACACATCACGGTTCCCTTCAGCCATGGTGGTCACGGATACCAGCAGCATCAGTTCATTAACCAATATGTCTTCCAATAAACAGGTAACAGACTCAGCATTATTGGGGGGAATTAATACTCTCAGCCAGGGGTGCCCAGGTTTTTCAAACTGAGGTCTGCTCTTGCAGCAGTCTGTGGTTGTGGGGAGGCACTCTAGTAATTGAGCAAGACCAGGACTAAAGTGGAAATGGATTTACAGGTAGTCCCCAGTTTAAGAATGAGTTCTGTTCCTGTGATGGAATGGAATTATGAAGGCCAGGCTTAGGGAGATAAACATTTTCTTAGCTCGCCGGAGGAG